TACCCAGCATGCCTGAGATACCCCTGTCTGCGTGTGACAGTGACTGCTCTAGGATAACAGATGCCCATCGCCACGCTTGCCTTTTACATGGATGCTAGGGATCTGAATTCATCTCCCTGTGTTTGTTCAGCTAACACTTCACCCACTGAGCCATTTCCCCAGCTCCAGATACCATATTCCTAAACTACCCACAGGCTCTGTGAACCAGTTCTTTCTAGAAAATCACAACCGGCCATAGACAAAGAGAGGCTCTCATAAGCCCAATGTCTACCACATGGCCGACCTGGAGCAGGTGACAGACCGGTGCCGTGCCATCAGATTGGCAAAGCTTCATGCTGGGTATGAGATATCCACACACACACGGAAGTTGGCTGGACAAGGTTCTTCCCACCTGGGCCCATTGACAACACCCTTCTTTTGATGCCCCATTTAAGATTTGTCACCCAGTGTAACACTTGCTTCTGTAGAGTGCCGTATTGATCTTTAATCTTGTAATTCAGATATATGGTGTGCAGCCTGTATCTTTTGCCCATGGCGACCCTGGAAGAATTTGCTTCTTTTAATGTGCAAGGAGCAGCTCATGGCCCTGAGGCCCACTGACTTGTTTTACAGGTCTAGGTGGAGGAAGGGAGTGGCCTGGGGAACCAGGGCTCCCAGGCCTCAGGGAAGAGGGAACCTTAATTGAGAAAACTCCTCTATCAATTGCCTGTGGCTAATTTTTTATGGCTTTTTCTTTTCATGATTACTGACTGATGTGGGAAGGCTCAGTCCACTAGGGATGGTGTCACCTCTGGACAGGTGGTCCTGAGTTGTATAAGAAAGCAGGTTGAGCAAGCCACAAGGAATAAGCCAGTAAGCAGGGTTTCTCCGAGGCCGTGCTTCAGTTCCTGACGGACGTGAGCTGTGGGCTGAAATAAGCCCTCTCTTCCTCAAGGCGTTTTTGGTCAGTGTTTTATCACAGCAACAGAAAGCAGATGAAGATAGTGAGGGCCTGCAGTACCAGAAGCTTATATGGAAACTCCATATGAAGGTAGGGAGTGAGGAATGATGGAGGGGAAGCCACCAGGGTTGCTGTGGGGAGCCTAGAAACATGCTCCTCTGGTCCCCTGAGAGGCTGGAGACCTGGCCAGGAAACGGATCCTGTCTCACCAGCCTTGGTCTCTCAGGCTGCGGTTTGCCTGGGCAATTGATGAGCAGGACATCTAGCCTGTCCTCAAAGGATGAGCTTTCCCCGGAGCCAAAGCGCCTCTTTCCCTGGCTGTGGTGGGAATGAAAGTCTTCCACGAGTGTGAACTGAGCACCAAGCCTGGGTACCCAAGGAGGGAGGAAAGGCCACCCACAGCACATGCCACATCCAGCAAGCATGTGACAATCCCTGGAAGTGGGACAGCTGTCCCTGCCTGCTCCTGGTTGTCTTGTTGTTGCCCGAAGATGCTGGATGAAAGGAGAGTCACCTCACTCCGCCCCCCACCCCAAAGGTAAAAACCATCTCGGGGGACTTAGAAGGAGCTCAAGAGCTAATGCAATGACACACTGGAGGACATGCCTGTCAGCTCCCAGTCCCCTCCTATTGACATGTGTCTTCCTCCCACACATCCTCCTAGGCACCTTTTATAGGCAGGGCTCAAGAGGAGGCACCAAGCGTGTGGTGGCACGACTCAGGGATAAAAGCAGACAGCCTCTGGCCTCCTGTGTCCCCTTAGAGGGCAGAATTTGGCCTGAGAACTGCCAGGCCTGGTGGTCTGAGTGGCAAGCCCTGGGGGGGGGGGGCTCTCACGGGAAGCCATAAAGAGGGAATGTGAACGACAACTTCATCTGCTGTTTCACACAGCTCCCGACACGCTTCTCCCCAGGCAGGGCATGCTCTGAGTTTATGAGGCAAATGTGCTTGTCATTCCCACCTCCTGTCCTAGGAGTGCGCCTCACACCTCAGCCTGGAAACAAACACAAGCCTCACCATGGGGCTTGCTTCCCTGCAAGAAACACTGTGCACAGCCCCTGCCCTCCCACACACACACACACACACACACACACACACAAGTATGGGTACAAATATTATGCAGGCATAGGCATAAAACACATAAGCAAATATACACATCAACATGAGCACATAAGCACACATGCATATACATGCAAACACATGGGTTCATGCACACAAATACATAATGTACATGCATGTACATGTGTGAATGAGCATACGGACATACAGGCAAGCACACACACATGTGCACACTCACAAATACATGTAACATGCACACAGGCATGCACAGCAAGCACACAAACCGTAGGCATTCACAAATACACATGCATGTAACATGTATGCATGCATGCGTGCATGCATGGAAGAGTACCCGGGCACCAGTTGGAAGGAGTACCCAGACCCCAGCTTCTCCTGTCTTTAACGAGCTTTGTGTCCTGGGATGTCCATCGTGGGACTTCATTTTTGTCGTGTTTCTCTATGGTTTTGAAGAACATCCAGGGACACACAGCTTCCTGTCCAGAGAAGGTGTCATCCATGGAAAGGTTTCAGGTGTGTCTCCCCCTGGCCACCCCTCCTCAGGGCACGGCCTGCCATGCCGATGTGCCAGGCCAGCCAAGGAGAGAGCTACAGCACAGCAGTGGCCAATGGGTGGCAGCTCACTCATCCTCTCTGCAGCAGAGACCCCTGCTTTGGAGAGACCCACCCAAAAGACCTGGAAAGCACCTTCCCCTACTGGAATGCCCACCAGGTGGCATCCCACCCCCAGCTCCCATTAGTGACTAAATATGTCACCGGGGATCGATGAGTCCCACCTGACCTGTGAGCTGCTGCTGCTGGCTTCGGGATGGTGAATGGGAAGCTGGGAGGGACACTCCCTTGGCTTGACCTCCATTCATGACACTGGTGGAGAACAGAGACTGTCAGATCTGGAATAGAAGGACAAGACAAGGTATGACAGCAGCACAGAATTATGCAGGGGAAGCACCTGAAAGGGGTGCCTCCTGCAAGAACTAGGGCTCCCTGCCCCACTTACAGAATGGGGTAATTATAGGGCTGGGTGAGAGGAAATGTAAGTGGGGATTGGGGAGGAAAGAAGTTTGTAGTTAGCCATTATTGGGCTTGCTAGGGAAACTGAGGCTTGCGGTTTGTACCACTGCTTGCTACTGAAAATACTAGCTGGCAGATGGTGGTGGGGTCAGAGTATGGGTAAGGTAGTCAGTAGGGGACAGAATGGAATAATTAAGCTAATATTCTTGCTTTGTGTTTTGTGAAATTGAAAACAGATGGGAGAGCAATGGGTGGGACTTTGGGCACAGTTTTCATAGAGCTGTTCGCTAGGTGGACATCATTTTCGTAGGATTATTTTTGGCTGACTTAGGACATCATTATAGGGCAGTCTTTGGTACTGGAAATTTTGGAGGATTTTGTTGACCCATCTTTTGGAAGTGTAATGGGGAAAGCACTTCAGTCTCTGGGATTACAAAAAAAGGTCCAGACGGTTAAACAGAGTCAAAAGGTTCATTAGTAGGGGGGAAGACAAGGGGTATCAAGAAGGGAGCCAGTCAGAGAGGTCAGCGTCCCATGTTGGACCATTGTCCCCAAGAGCCACAATGTCAGCTTGACCTTGGAACACACTTGCTGTCACTGAGACGCCTCTGAACTGGTTTACACAGAAGCAGCACTCTTCCTACTTCTAAAGGATGTCCAGAGCGCTTTCATTGTGGAGACTGACGCCTGCAAGTGAGTCTGTGGAGGGTTGTGTTAATGGCAGCCATTTCACCTCAGGTACCAAAAATCCGTGGGAAGCTGTTGGGGGCTAAGGATCGAAGAGTGACAGCTATGCCTGTACAGATGGCAAACGAGATATCTGGGACCTCAAGGCAGAGGTGTGTTTGGTTTGAGGATGGAATTGAAGCAAAGGGGGAACATGTACCTTTTGTTCTTGAAAAGGAGATTGATGCCCAAGTCTTAGAAGACAAAAGCACAGACAATGAATCAGCTGAAGAGGAGACAGACAGAAGCTGATTTTCCACAAAGAAAAGACACCTCCAAGGAGCTGAGACAGAAGACGAGAAAGAAAGGTATGAGAAAATGTTTGGGGTGATGTCCCAGTTCTCTTGTTATAAGACGGAATATTCTCCAGTCAGGGCAGACATAGCAGGGGACTGCAGTGCAACAGTATGTAGGGGGTTCCTGTGTCCCTGGGGTCTAACCTTGATATAGGTAGGGCCCACAGATGGGAATGACACAGATTAGGTTGTCAGGTTCGAGTAAGGGATACAGCAGGTGCCTGAGGGAGAGGAAGGGACAAGGCACACCACATGCTGGGAGTGACTGGGGAGGTGTGACAGTATTTGTTGATGTTAGGAGTAGGAAGAGGTTCTGAGAAGGTCAGGGAAGGGAGTCCCGAAAATCAGAGGGGAGTTTTCCACTTGGCACCTGTCCTTTTCGCTGTCTGCATGAATAAATTGGTGGTGATTGGCAGAGAGCGGTAGATGAAGGGTGTGGGTGCAGACACTGAGGAGTTGCTCACAACGGTGGCGTGGGTTAAGGCTTTGAGCCTACAGGCTATGCTGAGATGGGCCTGGAAGGTGAGGAGAGACTGAGTAAAAGTGGTCCCTATAGGGGGGTTCTAGGTAGATTCATAAAAGCATTGGTTATCAGAATGTATCATAGAGATGAACGAGTGATTGTCAGAAGCATGTGCATTGAGCTGAGGGGTTGAAGGGAGGCAATGGCTCCTAAGTCAAGACTGTGGGAAGAAGGGCTGGAGAAGCATTTGGTGGTTTAAGAGTGTTAGTGCTCAGGCATCTGCACTGGCCTGCCCTTGGGGTTCTGAGAGGACACGCCCTCAGCTGCTGCCACTAAGAGCACCACCTGAGCACATTCACTGTGTTCCCTTTAAAAGGGCCCTGCCCACCTCCCATCCTTTTCCTTCTCTCCCTCACTCTGTTCCTCTCTCTCTCTCTCTCTCTCTCTCTCTCTCTCTCTCTCTCTCTCTCTCTCTCTCTCTCTCTCTCTCTCTCTCTCTCTCTCTGCTTCTTTTTTCTTCTGCTACTCCTGTCCAAGATGCCTGTCTCCCCTTCCCCTTTCCCCTTTTTATGATCCATTTCCCTTAATAAAAAAACAAATACAAAAAAAAGCAACAGCAATAACAACACCCTCCACTTGAACTCTGTCGCATGGCATTTTTCTCTCTCAGGCCGCTTTTTCTTTTCTTTTCTTTTCTTTTCTTTTTTTAATTACAACAGAGAGCCTGACTACTCTTTCGGAGGACCCAGGTTTGTATCCCAGCACCCACACGACGGCTCGCACCCATCTGAAACCTAACCCAAGAGAATCCAATGCCTTCTCCTGGCTCTGTGGGCACTGAATATATGTGGGGCACAGACGTGTACTCAAGCAAGCGTTCATACAGGTAAGGTGAGATAAAATAAAACCTCATAAAAAATTGTGGAAAGATTAAGGGGTGAGTGGAGTAGGCTGAGGCACGCCTGAAGATCATTAACAGGAAAAGGGCAGGAAGAGGCTTGGTTGATCACTACGGTTTTACGGGTGAGTGTGTCCAGGTAGATGGAGAGGCTGGGGTTTCCAGGGAGTGCCGGGTTTGGGTGGACAAGCTGCTCCAACAGTTGGAGGGGAAGGAAGAGCTCCATAACATACAGGGAGGTGAAGGGGTTTCCAGGGAGTGCCGGGTTTGGGTGGACAAGCTGCTCCAACAGTTGGAGGGGAAGGAAGAGCTCCATAACATACAGGGAGGTGAGCAAAGTTTGTGTGAGCATCCAGCTGTTTGAGTAGGGCAAGGATGAAGCATAGGACTCATGGGGGTGTGGCTCTTCTGCTGTGCCTGGAGCCGTTAGGCACACAGAAGTCGGCCACCCGCTCATGAGTGGAAATGGGCTGAGCTTCAGAGGTTCCCTGGGGACAGCCCTGGGGGTGGAGGTAAGGAGAAAAGGCAGAGGAGGCCAAAGTCAAGTGAGAGCTTTTGAGTTTGGTCAGGTATTGTTTTCTAGAAGTGTGTTTGCCTGCTTCACCTTACCTGTGGATCCAACTTGGTAGGGAAATATCAGCTTCATGCTCAGGGAAGCGGTTGCCCGGGGTGGCCTTAGAAATGAAGGTAGTGCCTTTATCAGACTGCTAGGAGGCCAGAGCAGGAAAATGCAGTGAGGTGGAGCTGAGTGACCTCTTGTGCCCTCTGGTGATGGGAGAGGGGATTGTCAGTGAAGGGGGTGTTGTGATAAGACGCCAGAACAATTTATAGAAGAAAGCATTTTATTGGAGTTTACAGTTTTAGGTCAGAGTCCGTGACCATCATGACGGGGAGCATGGCAGCAAGAGGGTGGAGTAACACTGCAGCAGTAGCTGAGAGTTTACATTTTGATCCGTAATTAGGAGACAAAGAACGGGAGGGTTGTGGGGGCACATTTGGAATGGTAAGTCTTCTGAAATTTCAAGTCCCACCCCCAGTGAAACACCTCCCACAAGACCACACCTCCCAGTCCTTCCCAAACATGTCCACCAACGGGAGCTCAAGTATTCAAATATGTGAGCCTATTGGGGGCAGCGTTTTTCATTCAAACCACAGCAGGGGTTATAGATCAATAGTATGAAAAATGTAGTATGGGAGGGTAGGAGAGAAGGCAGTGGTGGCTAATGAGTTTGTGTGGATTGTGGAAAGAGAAAATAGTGATTGGCTGGGAGAGCATAAGGTTAGAGTCTTGGGGGGGGGCAGATGTACAGATGATCCAAAGTCTGTAAGGCTTGAGGAACAACACTGGCTTACCATGTCTAGTTCTTGTGGCAGGTTTGTCATCTCAAAGGGAGAGTTGCTGTACAGCTGACAAAGGAGTCCAGGGTGAGGTTTTGAGTGGATTGAACAAAAGGTGAAAGGCATTGGGGGATCTGGGGCTGGACAGTCAAGAGGCTTCCTTGAGCTTGGCCAATGAGAGCAGGATGGGTTGGGAGGTGCAGAGAGGGCTTCTCTGGAGATCAGATAGGTGAGTTTTGTAAGAATCCTGAAACCGGGGATCCAGATAGTGAAGTAATCTTGGAGTCCCAGGAAGGAGAGGAGGTCCCCTTCCGGAAGTTTTGGGGGAGTGAACGGCTCTTAATAGGGTCTTTGTGAGGAAACAGCCTGTGAGTGAGGGGAGAAGGACTCAGCTAGGGAACTTTGGAGGTCACTGGTTGTGCTTTGGAGAAGGAGACGCAGCCGAGGAGAAACTTAATGAACTGGGTGGTGTGCAATAATACGAGCTGTTGGAAGAATTCACATTTTAAAGGAGTGTACTGTGGCCACATTGAACAATGGAGAGGGGGGAACCTGGAATTGACTGGTAGAGTCTAAGATTTAGGACTCAGTGACCGGTAGTGCAACAACTCCCAATTCTTTAAGGCAGGGAGACTAACAACAACTTACTTGTCTGGTTATTTTGACAGGAAAAAGTTTGTCCAAATAGTTGGGAGCCGTCTCCGAACTCATGAGGCAGGACCATCCAGGTAAGCTGGGAAAGTGATGTAACAGTTGGGACCAGTCCAGGTGAAAGAGATGAGGCCATGGCAGGCAGGGTCTGAGGGTAGAGTCAAGAAGGACATAGAAGGAAGTAGAGAGCAGAACATGGGAGAGGAAGGTGTAGGAGTTGTGAGCATAGGATGCCTGGGGATAACAAGGAATAAATGAGTCTGTGGTCTTGGGACAAGGAGTTAGGCTTGCAAATTGCAAGGATAGAATGCAGACCGTAGGGGTTAGTGGTTGGAGAAGGGTGGGGACAACCTCGGGAAGACAGAGAAAGGTAAAAGGAGCAAAGCTGTTATGGGGTGAAGTCTCTGAGCCAGAGAATTTAGGGAAGTATCGGGCAATATGGGTCAGCCAGAAATGATCACGTCAAAGGCTAGCCAAGCATATTGCATAACGCTAGTCACATAGGTTTTGGGTGTGAGGGTATCCTTCCTGTCCATCATCACAGAGAGAAAGAGAACAGCAGGAGGCGTCCTGAATATTCTGTCAAGACTGAATAAGCAGCCCTCATATCCAGTAAGAACGAAACAGACTTGCCAGCAGCTACGTAGCATAATGATGCAGTTACTAAAGCAGAGACAGGTGACCAGTGGGCCTCAGGGCTCATGAGTCTTCTGTTGCTAAACCCCAATGCCCAGCCAAGCCTGAGTCAGGAGTCTGGGACCTGCTGGGGTGGTAGAGTTGGAGCACGTCCCTTACCGGGTGCCATCTGACTGGCAATGTCCTTCTTACCCACAAATGGGACAGAGGCATGGAGGCAGCCTGGGTCTGGGGTAGGCACTTGCTCAGTGGTCTTGTTGGCCTCATTTGAAGCAGACCTCACACTGACCCATTTCCCATCCCCTCAGACTAGAACCCTGTGAAAGGGCCACTTCCTGCATCTGGCGCTTGGCCTGGTCCTTTTAAACTTTTTGTTCCTATGTTTAAAGACCTTGAAGGCTGTTTTAACTGCGTCCCATTGAGGGTTCTGAGGGCCATCGTCGAGTTTTTGGAGCTTTAATCTCATATCTGTGGCCAGTTGTGATGTAAAGAGCGGGCATAAGTACAATCGCCCCTCGTCTGAGTCAGCCGACGGGTCGGCATGTTGGCCACGGCCTCTTAAAGACAAAAGGGAAATGGAGATGGGTCTTCTTTTGGTCCGTGACTGATCACTCTGAGTTTTGTTCATAATTGACAGCTTTAAGGGCTGCCTTTTCCATACCTACCAGGAAGCAAGCGACCTTATGAGCCCCTTTTTTAGAGATCACAGAGGTGGCCTGATAGCTCCAGTTAGGGTCAGCCAGGGAGTGTCAATCACCGCGACAAGACTGCGGTCCTGATCCTGAGTGTGGAGGGTGTCTACACAGGCCCGGGCTACCAACCAAAGGTACTCATAGTTCTCAGAGGAGAGAGAGGGTAAAAGGGGGACACAGGCAGACAAAAGGGGGACACAGATGTCACATCATGTCAACCTAAAGGATGGGCAAGCTGCTAGGATCCCTTTCAGTGGGTAGAGGGTCAGGAGCACTGGAGGCTAAAACTTTTCCGATCTGGGGAACATCTACGGGGGGGCGGGGGGGGGGAGAACCTGAATGTGCGTAGGGTCTTGAAGTCTGGCTACTTCTCTCAGAGGGGGACAGTCTGAGGAGGCTGGGGGGGGGCAAAGAGGGAGAAATGTGGGCATATGCAGGCATGGGATCAGCTTTAAAGAGGGAAAAGAGGATGGGTTTGGATTAGGGAGGTTGGGTCACAGAGGGACGGTGAAGGAGGGATTTAACAGGGGCCGTGACAGCTCATCAGCAGGGTTGAAGTCAGAAGAGATGTCTGGGCGGATCTGGTTGTGAACCTGTGACTGTGTTAGGCTGGGTTGGAGCAAGGAGGTTCACGGAGGTGTATCACCTGAAAGGCAGAACGGGGTTGGCATAAAGGTAATGGAGACAAGCAAGGTTTGGATGGGTGGGATGTCAGACTGTCTCTCCTGTGAGAGGAAGCCTTTGAGAGCTCTGGGGGCAAGTGGCGACCACCGGCCAGAGGATGCTGAGGGCCGGAAAGGTCGAGACACTTTGTTTGAGAGGTATTTGTCCCACTGTGAGTTGAAAACATATGGAGGAGGCACCCCCAGAGGGCTGCCTCATGGAGTTTTCTTTTTTTTAAAAAGATTTTCAGTTAATTAAGCAGAGGAGTCAGGGCAGATTCTCCGAAGACAGACAGGACAAAAGGGAGGGATGTCCCCATCACCTGATGGTCTTCCTGGGAAAAGAGATCTCCACCCAGGCACATCGATAACTACCTCTGAGGCTATGGGGGAGACTCACTCAGCTCCAGGTTCATCTGATAGACAGAGGAAGACAAAGAGAAACTCCACAAGGGAAGAGATCTGACTCAGTCCATGGTACACAAGTCAGTGCTGTGTGTCAGGAAAGCAATGGAGAAGGTCACTGCTGGAGTCACTCGAGGAAGAGAAAGGGAGGGAGACAAGTCAGAATGGGTATGGGAAGAAGGGGGCATGCTGGGAAGGGTTTACGTTGAGAGACTTGATCCCTGACTCTTGGTTTTCTTGGTACCAAGAGTATTAGACCCTTGGTGGGAGGCCCTGGTGAGAAGGAACAGCTTGACAATGGCACAGGCTTATTAGGGAGACGCACCTGCATGGGGGGACTCTAGGGCTCCTGCCCCACTTACAAGCTGGGGTAATTACAAGTCTGGAAATGTAACCGTGGTATCGGGGTGGTGAGACATTTGCAGTTAGCCATTGCTAGCCTTACTGGAGAGCTGGGATCACTGTTGGACCACTGTTTTCTACTGAATGCTTTAGCCGGAAGGCGGTTGTGGGGGTCACGGTATCTGCTACAGTGGCCAACAGGAGAATAGAATGGCAGAAGCAGAGCCAGAAGCATCCATAACCTGGAAGATTATTTTTCCACAGAAGAGCTTTTCAGTGTGATTCCCCACCACCACCAAAGCTGCTTAGATGGCAGCCCCAGACCCGAAATAAAGCCATGTAATTGCCACCAGCCTTTGAAGATGGCTAGCTGGGTGGAGGACCCTTCCAGGGAACAGTAGTACACCAACCCCTGGACATCCATCTAAGCTGGCCCAGAAGGGTCATTTCTTTACATTTGTAGTGCTTGCATTTTGCTTGCTGAGATTAAGAAGCCGGCTCACAGCTCCAACCATTCACAACACAGGTCTCAAATGTCTCACCTGCCAGTGTCCCCCAGCACCAGGGCCAAGTGAGTGATTCTCACCAGACTCCTGGTAGGGAAACTAAGGCTCCAAGAGGAGATGAGGCTGAGGAAATATCACAGAATGAATCCTCAGCTACCTTGAGTCTGAGATCCTCAGTACTCACCAAGCCCTTGGGCCCCTGAATCAGGGGTGCAAAGAGACCCCAGTGCTACATGGAGGCAGGTTATAACCATGCTAGCAGACAAGGATTGTCACCAGCACACTCCTAGGAATAGGAGGCACAGGTTCTTAAGGATCACACACACAGGCACGCATGCACATACACACACACACACACACACACATACACACACACCAATAATGAGATGGAAGGAAGCCACACGACTCAAACCCCCGCCCCCACTGTCCCCTGTAGCTGCGTGTCCACTGCCCCCCCTTGCACCTTCCCTGCTACACCGTCATTCAATCATCTTTCCCACTCACTTCGTCTCTTCCATTTTTATCTTACGCCGCCTGTGAAAATTGGTGTGAAATAAAAAGGCAACTCTGCCTACAGATGTAATCAATTGATTTGGCAGGTAGCCTGCAGATGCCTAGGAAGAGGGGAACCCATTGTCGATGCAGACAATCCCCTCCTCCTCCTCTTCCTTCCCCCACTTCCTCCCTCCCTGCCTCTCTGGCACCCTCCTTTGTTGCCTTCTTCTTTTCAGCCTCTCTCTGGTCTCCCTGTTACTTTTTGCTTTGTATTTAGTAGGAGTAATCCCGACCAGGGCCCTCCCCTCCTATATTTCTTCTCACTGTTGTGCGTGAGAAGTGATAGGTGTCTTTCTTCCCAGGTGTTCTCTAAGACGCTGGAAGAGACTCAGAATTTCCTGGGACCTTACCAATCATCCCGAGAAAGCCAGACCAGGCACAACTTCTTGAAGCATCCCAGCTTCCCATCCAGAGAAAGGATGACTGCCCTTTACTGACATGAAGATGGGCTGTTCCCTCTACATTCAGGGGAGGAAAAACCAACCTAAGCAGGACAATTTTATACAATCATCCTGAGTATCCACTGAGGATGGTCCATACAGTGTTTATATGTCATTGCTCATTCCCTCACATACTCAGGAGCAAGTCCCTTGCAAACCAATGCTCACACCCTTTGTGTGCAACATTCAGGATCTTATTTGCCAGCTCTGATTCCTTCAGACCCTTATGAACTATGTCCAAGTCCTTATGTACTAATGTTCAAGTGCTTTGTCAACCAGTGCTCAAGTATGTTCTGTACCAAAGTTGAAGTAATTTAGTACCAATGTCTAAACCCCTTATGCACCAGTGTTCAAATCAATTATGTAATAAGTTTAAGTCCTTTGTGTATCAGTGCTCAAGTCACTACCACAGGAATGTCCAAGTCCTTCTTGTAATGATGCTCTAATCATTATGTAAGAATACTCACATCTGGCCAGGCGGTGGTGGCACACGCCTTTAATCCCAGCACTCGGGAGGCAGAGGCAGGCGGATCTCTGTGAGTTCGAGGCCGGGCTGGACCGACAGCCTCCAAAACAATACAGAAAAACCCTGTCTTGTAAAACAAAACAAAACAAAAAAGAATACATCTATTATGTACCAATGCTCAAGTTCCTTATGTACCAATGCTCAAGTCCATTATGTACCAATGCTCAAGTCCATTATGTACCAATGCTCAAGTTCCTTATGTACCAATGCTCAAGATCATTATGTACCAATGCTGAAGTCAACTATGTACCAATGCTCAAGTCAACTATGTACCAATGCTCAAGTCAACTATGTACCAATGCTCAAGTCCCTTACTTACCAATGCTCAAATCCATTATGTACCAATGCTCAAGTCCATTATGTGCCAATGCTCAAGTCCATTATGTACCAATGCCCAAGCCCATTATGTACCAATGTCCAAGCCCATTATGTACCAGTGTTCAAATATCTTATGTGCCATGTTCAAGTCACTTACATTCCAATCTCAAGTCCAAGTCCCTTGTGTAAAAAGGTATGGGATTTGCATGGAACCTACACACATCCTTGGGTATTCTTTAAATCTTCTACAGGTTATTTATAATGCCCATCCCAATGTCAGTCTATGCGAAACATTGTAGTACTGCATTGTTTAGGAAGTGGCGAGTGAAATAATGTCAACATTTATGGTACAGCTGTCTTTTTCCTAAATATTTTGAAATCACATTTGTTCAAATTTAGGACACAGAATCAGTGGACATAATTATCTGGCCGCGTTTTTACTCACTAATTTACTTATTATTTATAACTCAGGCACCAAAAATATAGAAACAAACAAACAAAAAACAGCCACATATGTTGCCTGGCACATAGTTGGTGCTCAATCAGTGGTGGCCTCTGCCAGGTTTTCTCCTGAAAGTCTCTTATAGAACAATGAAGTTATTTATACTCAACCAATGTTGTTCTATTCATTCTAAAGGTGATATAGACCACCTATAAGTGTCCTTTTATTAGTCATTGCTATTGTTCTGGCCAGGAATGGATGATGGGGAACAAGCATGTTCGTCCTTATCTAATCTAAACTCCAAGATCATCACTAAACACAAGCAAATGTGTAATTGAAGCATGGGGTGAGGACTACAAAGGACTTAATCCAGGAAGGGGTAGGGGTGGCAGCTGTAGGGGTGACATCTTGAAGGAGCAGCATCCTATCTGTGGTTCTAAAACTGGTCCCCTCCTGAGCAGTTGCACCAGCATCAGTACCGCCTAGAAATGTGTAGCCCTGAGAGCCGGTGCCCCCTTGGGTTTGCCTCAGGCAGCGTAGGAGGTGAAGGGAGAAGGTTCTTTATTCCTTCTGTGCCTTTTGATGCTTACAGAAATTTTCTGTCTGCATATATTATTTTTGTCTTTTTTCAGAAGCCAACCTGGAGCAGCTCAACAATGAGATTAGAAGATTTTTTTTTCCTTCTCTGCTTGGCAAGTTCCTGAATTTTATGAAATATAAACAGTCAAATTTTTATAGTCAGTATTTATCAAATACCATTACGTATCAGGTACACCAATGGGTGGCTTCACTATCCCCACTCGTTCAACAAATGTGTACTGAGAGCCTTCCCTGTGCGGGCCTGGGGTGGAGATGAGAAGAGAGAAGCATGCCTGAGGGAACTGCCATTCCAGGGATGGGCACCAGCAGAACCAGCTCATACCCCTGCTGAACAGACCCCTGTGATCTCAGCGCCCGTGAAGTTGAGGCAGGAGGACTGTGAACTCCAGCCACACCGGGCTACATAGAAAAAGCCACCTCTCACCACCAAACAACATAGTGAGCAACAACAAGTCAGACCCCGTGTCCTAGGGAAAGTAAGATGTCCTGGGGTGTGCTGGTTTGGAGACTCCCAAGGAGAAGACAGTTGGAAAGGCTGGAAGGGAAGGAAGGAATTGCTACAGGTGGACAAGGGGCGAGGGGAGGTGAGAGAGGAAGAAGTGAGTCCTAGGCAGGCGCTGGCCACGAGCAGGTGTGCTGGGAAGGCCAAGGAAGGGGACAGGGCTGAGGAAGAGCTGGTGGGCTTGCGTTTCGCATTGAGTGACTTGGAACCGGTAGGCAACAGAGTAGAATCCGGAGGTCCAAAGGGGGTCCCACGCTCGGGAGGGGGGCAGGGCCGAGGGAGAGCAGTAATCTAGACTGAGGGATATGTTGTTAGCACAGCGGAAGATGGCAGGAGCTGGGCTGTTGCGGAGCCATATCAAGACAGCCATACTCTGGTCAGCTTCTAGTCTAGGAGCCAGTAAGATTGTTGTCACAGTGGTCTGGCAGAACAGATGTGGGCTCCATGGTGACACTGGTATTTTTCACATAAGCATTGACATTTATGGAGATGTCAAAGAGCAAGGTAGATGGAGGCTTCCTAGGAGAAACACCTTGCTGACTAAGATCCCTTTTGGACAAGTGAAACATGAGATGCCCCCGTGTGACTTTTTTTTAAACCTTGTTTAAAAAGAGGTTATATTGGTAAAATTATTTTCAAGATTTTGTTTTTACTTTTACTTTGTGTGTGTATGTGGGCAGAGGGTGGCCGCGGAGGCCGGAAGAAGGCACAGGATCCCCTGTGGTTGAAGTTACAAGCAATTGTGAGCCATCCCATGTGGGTGCTGGGATTCAAAAGTCCTCTGGAAGAGCGCCTAGCACTCTTAACCACCAAGTCACCTCTGCAGTCCCTTAATGTTCACTACTGACTAGATTTGGACTCACCTGGGAGACACGCCTCTGCGTGTGTCTGAGAGGGCATTTGCAGACGGAGGGGAACCCAGCGTCAATGTGGGTAGCACCACCACACGACCCAGGTTCCCCCGAAAGAGTAAGCCACACACCGTCAGCACCATCGCCTCTCTAAATTCCTGCTGGTCCAGCTGCCTCAAGCTGTCACCGCAATGGCTTCCCTGCCGCCATGGACTGTCCCCTCAACCTGCAAGTCACAACAAACCCTTCCTTCCTTAGATAGCTTTTGCCAGGTCACATCAAGGAAAGAAGTGACGAGGACACGGTGTTCATGGACCACTTGAGGTGCAGGCTGGCAGAGAGGATTGGCTGTGGGGAAGAAGCAGCCCTCGTACTAGGGCCTCACAGGCTCTTGGGTTCTCAGCCTCTTGGGCTCCTGACTGAAAAGCACCTCCACAATGGTAGGGCCTGAGAACGGCTTGGTGAACCAGTCTGGAGTACTGGAGCCAAAATCTCCCATTTAGGGACACCCTTATGCTGTCGGAAGAGGCCTGGCCTGCCTCCAGGATCCGTCCACCCTCACCCCGAGACTCCAGGACTGGAAGAAGTCTGGGATGCACTGTCCTTGGTGCCACCAGGGCAGGACCAACGGGAGATGGCGGAGAATTGATCACTGTGGTCCCCGTCACAGGACACGTGACAGAGTGCATTCACTGCCACTGCCACCTCTCAGCCCTCTCAGTGGAGACATCAAGCAGGCACAATGCAAAGCCCAAGCTAGAGATAAAAGTTTAAAGAGTCCTGGGCTTCTAAATGGTGTTTAAAGGCACGGAATGGATGGGCGTGTGCAGAGCTGGCGGACACGCCTTGGAAGGACTGAGTCCCGAGCCTCTCCTGAATCTGAAGATTGGGGGGACAAGTGAAGCCAGCAACACAGATAGGATAGGAAGAGGCGACCCAGGAGCCTCTGAGGTCCTGGAGGTCAAGTAAGGAGATTATTTTCAGGAAGAGAGGGGAAGGCCTTTCAGAGCACACACACACACACACACACACACACACACACGCACACACAGGCAACCATCCCGCAAGGCCTTTGTGAACATCTATATGATCACTTTTGGTATGCCTTCCTGTGGTGGGGATGCTGGGGTGTATGGCACAAACCCCCACTCAGGGGCGCAAGCATACTTTACTTGCTTGGATTGCTGGCTTCCGGTATCCCAGGTTCCACCCTCTCCACAGGGACAGCCTGCGTTCAGGGAGTGTTTTGTATGGCCTACTTACTGTCATTAGGGATGTCTCAAAAGAGCCATCTTCTGTAATCAGTCAGGAGCCGAAGCCACCAAAATAAAGGAAGGGATGCTTCTCTTTGAGACTCCACAGGATGCTTTTGTGAGAAATGGGAAAGTCCTAGGTTCCCCAGCCATTCTGCTGTGACCCATTTCCCCCTCTCCGGGTACTCCTAATCTCAATTTTCTGGCTGCTTTTTCTCTCCTCGGGGCACTTATCTCCTTCCAACCTATAATTTCCTCCCTTGCGTGCCTGCTATTTCGTGTCCGTTTCTCTTCTTTTTCTAGACTGTTCACTCCATCAGGGCAGGGATATTTATTTGTTTGGTTCATTGATGTGGCCCACCCTTGGTAAGTGCCTTCAAATATTGACTGAATGAATTCACAGGCAAATCAGCCCTACCAAACTCCATCCCTACCCCACCCCCATTAACAGAATAAATGGACCAGAGCCGCACAGGTGGCCCAGGTGGGTTACCTAATGATGGCTAAGTCTCAGCGTCTGAGAGCATGTTTGTTTTAGGGCCCTGGTCTCCTCATCTGCAAGGTGAGAGCCCAGTGAGTGATGGTCGCAGGAGTGACCTCCAAGACTGCCTGCAATGCTGGGCCTGAGGCTGACCCTGGGGTTCAACCTGAGCCTAAGGACCTGTTTCATTCAAGAGAATCATTAGCATCTACACCTCAGCGGAGAGAAGGGGTGAACCCACAGAACCCCCAAGGAGGAAGCTACCAGAGGCTCACAGTGGGTGTGTGGAAGGCTCCTTCTAGAAGCATCAGGCAGGCAGGACTAGAGGGGCAATCAGATGGTCTCAGTCCTGTGAGGGCTCCATCTATAGGGAACAATAAGGACGGGGGAGCCTGGAAACTGCTCAGCGGCGCCATCCAGCTAACCGGGCACAGGCTGAAGCCTCGGTGTGAGGCACACGGAACAAAACCAGCGTCAGCTTCAGAGAAGGCCTGCTGGAGCAGGGGAGACCTTAGCCCTGGATACTGCTTTAAACAAACAAACAAAACATTATTATAGGCTGCACAGAAAGCAAGAGAATGCAGTCACCCTTCCACACTCAGGGACATCCTACACAGGCTTGTCCTGAAGAGCCTAACTCCATTTCCCAGCCATGTGACTACGGCCCAGTTACAAAGC